CTATGCTGTATGCCTTTTGCAGTTAACAGATCAGAGAACTGGTTTCTAGCTGTGGACCACAGATTCCTTGCAGCTTCTGCATTTCATGGCTCTTCTGATTCTGCTTTTACATTTGCTTCCCCTTGTCTCCTTATGCCCTACAACCAGAATACCTTTTCCTCTGATGTTCCAACCTTCTCCCCTAACAGAAAGCTTTAAGTATCCCTTTATTCCCTAATAAAAATTGACATTCATCGAATCCTTTAAGCTTTGCAAAGCTATACACACATACACACATATACATACATACATACACAAACATACATATACACATGTGTGCATATACATACAAACACCTACATATATACACATATACACGTACATATATACATACACATACACATGCATACGCACACATACGCACTATCTATACACAAAATACACACACATACAAAGCCCTTTGTATTCATACTTACAAAATTTCATTTGATCTTTGCAGCATTGCTCTGAGATATATACCTTCCTGATCTTGTCATAGTGTCAGAATCTCTGGCTCCTTTTAACCCTCAAGTTCCACCACCTACAGGAAGTCTATTCTTGTCCCTGGTTGCTAGTGCACGCTCTCTCAAGAATTACTGGGTCTGGATCTACCATGTGGTTACTTTGTGTTATCCGTTCTTCCCTCTCTTTGGAAAATAAGCTCTTTGAAGGTTGTTTCATTTGTTAATTTTGTATCTCTAGTTCCTGACACAATGCAGCACCCAGAACATTGTAGGTGCTTAACAAATGTTTATTGAATGTTGAATCAAGATAGGTAATAGTATTAGCCCCTTTTTACGATGAAAATACTGAGGTTCAGAGAGTTTAAGTGACTTACCCAGGGTCACCCAGCTAGTGTTTAAGACAGGATTTGAACTCTAGTATTCCTAACTCCAAATCCAATACTCTACCTGCCATATCATACCGCTTCCCTAAAAGACAACCTTTTCAGGATATAAAATCCTATCTGCTCTCTCTGATCTTTCCTGTAGCACTATACAAGTATCAATAGAAAAAATTCGGCATCTTAGAACTAATCATCGTGGGTAATCAAAGGAAACAGCAGGTTAAATCCAAGTCAGCTTCTTTCCAATTGGCAATCTGGTTCTGTGCCTTAAAAATATACTTCTATTTGACCTCACTCAACAAACTGTTCTCTCTTTTTCCTTCCTCCTTTTTGTTTCTCTTTTCCTCGACCTAATAACTTCTCTTCCCTTTATTTTTAATCCCTTAGATAAAGGTACAAACTGGACTGCTTATCAAATTTGCAGGAGGGGGGAGGAGCACTCCAGAGGGCAGGATTCAGAAAGATCTCAACTAAAAGCTAGAACATGGGGCCGATTTAGGCTCAAAAAGTAAACTTCACAAGTCCCATAAGAGGAGGCATTGGTACACTTTGTCTTGACCAAAAAAAAAAAAAAAGATTTGAGTTTTAGTGGATTACAACCTCAATTTGAGTCAACAATGGAATAGGTAGAAAGCTAATGCAATCTTCAATACTAGTATTATTGTTTGTCCTTCATTCTGAATCAAAGAGGACCAATAACATAAGGAAGGTGATGTCTTGACCTGGAAGTGAAATGGATTTAAGTGAGGCAGGGGGCTATGCAAAGTCACCAGCCTCACTCATTTCTCCAGAGTCATCTGGGTCCAGCAGCAAGACATAGATCAGGATGACTGGAGATGGCCCCAGATGCAGTGGGAGACCTTGGCCTATACTACTGAAGAGAAGCATAGTAACCAGGACCGGGAGGTGAAGTTGCCCCCGACCTTTGCCCTGGTGATTCCACATCTAGAGTATTACTTTAAGCGCAAAGAGCTTCCTACATTTTAAGAACATTGACAAGGTAGCCAGGATGGTGAAGTGTTTTGAGTTCATGTCAGTTAAAGGAACTGATGATTTTAACCTAGAAAACACTTATTTGGGGGTGAGGGTGAGGAATGATAGCCACCTTCTAGTACTTGAAGGTCTGTCAAGTAGAAGGTTTAAACTTGTTCTGTTGGGTCCCAGACAGCCAAATTAGGAGAAAAATATATGGATGGTTTGACACAAGGAGACCTTTTCCAACAATTGGCCATCCAAAAGTAGAAAGGGCTGATTGGAAAAGTAGCAAGTTACCCCTTTCAGGAGCTCATAGGTTGACGGTTCTAGAGTAGAAAAGATCCTAAGAGGCCATCTAGTCTATCCTCTTCATTCTATGAATGGTAAAACTGAGGCCAAGAGAACTCAAATGATCTGCCCATTAGAAAGATGAGGAGTGGGAACAGGAACTCAGGATCCATGACTCCAAATATAGAAAGTTTTTTACATCCCCGCATTAGGCTCCAAGATTTTGCCAGTCATCAAGTAACATTAGATAACTTGTCAGGCATATCGTAGAGAATTCTTGTTCAGGTGTGGGTCCCTACCTACTCTTTCTACAGTCTGCAGATGGCCTGTAACCAACATGAAGGTTATGGTCAGTGTTCCAATTTGGCTGGGGATTTAACTGTGTAAAGGGGAGTAATGGGAAATAAAGCTGGGGACAGCCAGATGGTAGAGAACCTTAAATGGCAGTATTTTATCCTAAAGGCAATAGGAAATGTTTTGGTCAGACTTGGGGAGATTTTATATCTATGTAAATAACTGGAGTAGAAAAGGAAGACCAGTTAAGAAACTTTCAGGAGGCTATTTGAGTGGAAAGGAAGAATGGGAGAAACACAGCTGTAATTGAAACAGGATTTGCAAGTGATTAGACCTGAAGGTAAAACTAGGCAAATGTGATTTTTCAAGCCTAAGTGACTGAATAGGATGATAGCCACCAACAGCAAAGCACACTGGGAGAGAGAACTATAGGGGGAGAAGATGAGTCTGGTTTTAGGCATGTGAGTTGGAACTGTCAGTAAGGCAGACTGGCAGACATATCCAGCAGGCAGCTAGGGATCTCATGTCTGAGGAAGAGTACTAGGGTTGGAAATGATGGATCTGAGAGTCGTTTGAAGAGATCATCAAAGCCAATTAAATTATGCAATGAGTGGATGGAGAAGAGTGCCAAGGACAGTCTCATGGGGACATCTAGTTATGGGTCAGAAAAGCAAGGGTAGCAACAAAGAAACAGCTATATCAGCTTCAGGGACTTAATCCAAATTAAATGAAAACACACACCATCCTTCCCGATTAATTCATTGGGTAGATTTAAGTATCTTTTCCCTCGAACTCATTAATTATTCAACAAATCACCTTAGTTTGTCACATAACAGGGAATTTCCACAAATTTGGCGCAGGTTAGAATTTCAAGCTGCTCACTTCTATGCTTAGCTATCTGATTGGCTTGGCGATTTAAATAGGTCTGTTGTGGATAGCTTTCTACTTTACCTGAGAAAGTCAAGAACTATATTCCTCAGCCTTTGGAGGATGAGCTAGCCTAGCCCACTATGCCCCGCCCCAAGCAGTTTTCATGCCCCACCCCTCTCTGGTCCTCCATGCTGCCCAGTTTGGAGCCTATGCTCAACCTTAATCCCAATCAATGAAAGAGAAGCTGGTGCACAACATCAAGTCAAGTGTACATTTTAAAAATTGTTTAATGGAACATAAACTCCTTTAGAAAAACATTCAGCTAGGTGATAACACCCATAGAAAAAACACCAATCTCGTGTTTATCTTTTTTTAATTTGGCATTTGTTATTTGCATTTATATTAAAGCAAAGTGCATCTTTCTTTATTTTTCTTGTTTATACACATTGCACAATACATAAATAATGATGCTTATAAAACGTCTTTGTATTTACAAGTAATAATATATTTATATATAACATAAAATACATTTTTTCTTTAATAAATCTCAGTTTTTTTCAGGAGTCCTTTCTCTTTCACCAAGCACTACAATGCTAAAGTTCCAATGAGAATGCTTCTCTTGTTCATTTAAACCTTTGTAGGTAGAAAAATAGCTTATGTTAAGGTCTAAACATGCTCATTGAGCTAAGAACAGTGTAAAAGTATCATACAAGTGTATGAGTTGTAGAAGAAATGAAAACACAGTATTCTGGGACACAAGTGGTACCTTGATAACCGGCTTTGGGTTAAGATGGACCATCGGGGGGATAGTGGAAGGGGAGGGGGTGTGGTGAAACAGGGGGCATAGTTTTCATTCCATTCCTTCCCACTTAGGAAGTTTCTCTTTCTCTCTCCTCTCCAACTCACTGGTCTAAACAGTGTGGTTTTGGGGAGGAGAGAGGCCAAGTCAGTTTTTTCCTGTGGTAGGAACAGTGGGCTTGGGAAAGCGGGCACTTTATAAGCAATACTTCAGGGAAGTCAAACTCACGGAAAAACCAAGATGTCAGAAAAAGAGGAAAAAAGAAAAAAAAAACAATTATGGCAGCAGTGAGGGTGGCAAAAGGTTGGGATGACCAGGGTTAAAGTCTTGGTTCTGGTTCAGAATCTTGCTGTTTGTTTCCAAGAGACCTGTGTGTGCGTGGGCCCTTGGCCTTCTATTCCAAGTCAATTAATAAAGGGAGGAAAAGTACCTGGGGAGGGGCCAGGTCAAGGGGGCTCTATCATGGAGGTGGCCTTATTATATGGGAACACCTAACCAACCAATAGAACCTAATAGGGCACTAACATACCGACCCCTCATGCATTTCCAAAGGGCTAAAGAGCTATTGTGGCTGTAGGCTTCTTACTGAAGCTCATCCTTAAGAGAAATACCCTCCATCTGTATCACAAAGTGTTCATGTTCTCCCCTGGCATAATTGTCCCCTTCTTGCCCATATAGACTGGACATGTGAAATGATGATTTCGGACAGGGAAAGTGACTCCCCTCTTCTCTTCTGACTCATTGGTCATTTATACCTTTTGTTTGGTGTTGTTGGTTTTTATTCCCCTTTTAAATTCTCAACTTACCAGGTAGCCCTCCCCATCCTATTTCCCTCCCCCTCAAAACCACATAATTCTTTCCATAAGCTATTTCTCGAGAACAAAACAAACAGAAAACCATAAACAACAATTAAAAAATAAAACAACCAAAGAGTTTACATGAAAAGCAAGCACTCAGAAGGAAAATATTAGCAGCAAAGTAGTTTTAAACGTCATCTAGTCCCCTCCGGTTCCTGTTGCGTTATCGGTTGTTGAATATGACCTCCAACCAGCACGGACAGCTGCTGATAAACTGCCTTGTGTAACACTGGCCCCAGCCTTTCACGAAGCTGATCTGCACGGTGAAGCCCGTCCATGGCTGCTGCATGAACTCATGGTCGTTGGGCCGCTGCAAACTGTATGCTTTCTCATAGTCAAAAGCCTTGATGGAAAAACCCGGGAACACCTTGTGCACCAACAACGTCCTGGAGTCGGGGTTATCCAGTGTGGCCGACTTGATAAAGATGGGGTAACTACTACGGTTATACACCCACACGCCGTCTACTTCTCTAGTCAACTGGATGCCACAGCCAATTTTGCTGCGGACTTTCTGTACCAGCTGACTCTTGTTGTCCGAATTGAGCTGTCCGAGGCAAAAGCCATTCCCCTGAGGTAGATCGTAGAAGATGTCCAAGGAGGGCTCTTGGACAGAGTAGAGCCGACCCACTCTTGTTTTCTCCTCCCAATATGCTACCACGCACCAGTGTGACTGATCCCCAGGCTCCTGAAGAAGTTGGGAATCTAGATAAGGAAAAAAGAATCAGAACTCTCAGAAGTGGCTAGTTTTGGGCCTTCTCAAATCAAAAGCACAAACTGTGACTTTACATTTATCAAAGGCCCCTCTCAGAAAAATCTGTGGCCAACAGTTTCTCTGAATCATCCTTGACTGAGCGTTTAGCTTTGACACTTTTTTCATGATTCAACTACGTTGACTTGGATTCAATAAGCAATTACTGAATTATTAAGTGCCTGCCACTCACATTGTATGTGAGCTGTATGTACAATTTTCTTTGTATGTACATTTGGGGGGGGGGGCAGGGTCTCTTCCCCGTTAGAATGTGAGCTCCATGAGGGGCTAGGGCCACTGTTTTTGCCTTTATATCTCTATTGCTGAGCAGTGTTACCCCAGCATGACTGACACTGTAGACACAAAAGAAAAAAATGGTCCTGCCTTCAGGAAGCTTATATTTTTCATGGGATGATCTTCCTTAATAGGGAAACCCTCAAGGACTTTGAGATACATGTTCACGTAGGTAACTCATTCACTCCTTGCTATCTCCCTCATTTCTCCCTAGTTCCTTGTGAGACCATTTTGAATCATGGAAAAGGAAGCAATAGCAGCTCATCTAAGTAAGTCTCCATCCTATACCTGATGAAGACCTCCAAAAGTTGACTTCAGATCCCTGGGGAGAAAGCTAGACACAAACATTCCCAGTAGAAACCTCCAGATGGGTGGGAGATAAGTCCCCCTAATTGATCTCTGACTCTTAGGACTGATGAACAGAATGCAATCCAACCTTTGAATGTCCCTGCCCTTTACACATAGGAGCATGCTGAGGCATCAATTAACACCCCCCCCCCAGCTGATAAAGGGGCATCACTTGAGCCCTGGACAGGCATACAACCTTGGGTACATTCTAATTCCTTCAAGAGATATAGTCTAAAGTCTATCTAGGTCTAAACCCAAATATAAGCCAGGAGATTGCCCAGCAGCCTAATCATATAACTATAAGGCTGGTCAGGACACAGCACTAGTGAGACTGAGAGTGTAGTTCACAGAATTCAGCCGCAAGGGACTTTTTGTTTTAATCTAACTGAATCTCAGGCACAAATAGGACTACAGAGGTCATCTAGTCTACTTTACAAATAAGGAAAATGAGATGAGGTATAGAGAAGTGAAGTAATTTGCCCAAGGTCACATAGCTAAGAAGTAGAAGAGCTAGGATATTATAGTTCATCTAGTATAATCTCCTCACCTCACCAATAAGGGAACTAAGACTCAGAGAGAAGAAATCACCTATTCCAGAATCACACATAGATAATAAGTTAATGTCAGATGCAAGACTAGAACCCAGGTCTTTAAGTCAATCTAGTGGTCAATTCACTACAGCATACTGCCTCACTTTCAGCATCCCTGCCCTGGCCATCGATGTCTCTTTCACCAAGGAGCATGATTTAGTCATAAGAGTTAGATGATGGCATGTGGCCCGCTCAGTACAAATCCAGCCCCACAAGCACACAAATCACTTAAGATATACATCCTATGCTAAGTGAAAAACCAGTGGTTGTTCACAAAAGACGGCACTAGAACTATCCTGGAAAATTTTTTTTTTTAATTTAAATCTGGACTAATTGATAGTATCCCTGCATTCTGGGAGGCCCAGCCTACATCTCAGAAAGAAAGAATGTGCCCCAGAAACTAGACTTCAAGTCCTACAAATCCCCCTATGTAGGCAGGATGATGGGAAGATCCAGAAGAGCAGCATTTCCACATTGTAGTGTGATAAGTTGCTCTCCCTCCATGCCTTGCTCCTTTCCTCCACCTCCTCTAAGCCCCGCCCCATGGCCTGACATGAAGAAAGTTTCCTGGACCTCTTTAAGAAAGCCACTGGTCCAGGAGTGTTTTTGGTATTTGGGGTACATGTTTCTTTAAATAGATGTTTGTGCACATTAAAAGGGGGGAATCGTCCGGGGTGGCTACAGCTGTAATTTACCTCTCCTCCTCATGCCTGGAGCTGAAGTAATAAATGTAAGGTTCAGACAGAAAACTATAAATCTGCCTGAGCTGCAGGAATAGCTGTGGTTTTTGGCGGCAGGGTGGGGACCGGAAGTTTTGTATTTGTTAACAAAAATTGGGAAAGGGGAGGGTGGGGGGTAGAAGTGTAGAGTAGGGGGGAAATGGTGGTTCCTTTAACCCTCCCTCCTCCCTACAGCCTTTTCAAGTAACTGGGGGAGAGATTAACTGATTATCAGGCAGACCAGACAGGGGGAAAGGAAAGAAGGGAGTGCGTTCCAGTGCCCACCTCCCCCCTTAAAAAAGACTGCTGTCGGCAGGGTGAGGATCTGAGCCCAGTTCAGCCCAGTCACCTCCTTCCAACTTTTACAGACATGTTAAGACCTGGGAACTATTCAGATCTATGAACTTAAAAAAAAAAAATGCAGCAGCATTTAGCCTTAGATTTCAGTCCCTTATGAATAAGTTGGTAGGCTAGTTTATACTCCAGTAGGACTCAAAAGGGAAATATGGATGGTCGGTCTGCCTGTCTGTCTGTCTCTCAAGTCACCCCCAACAAAAGGACAAGCACAGTATCTGAATTCTCAGGACACTAACTTATTCCTGAATAGCATCCATTGGCTGCCAAATAGGATAGTAAACATCAACCACTACCGAACTCTCAGAATTCACTTGTGCAGCAGATGAGAACCGTTATAAGTAAAAATATTGCTAGTTTGTACATTCATATGCTAGTTTTCCCTTGGAAGCCCTGGTTGGGGTGGGGTGGTGTGCCTTCTGAAATGTAAGAACTTCACCTCAGAAAACCAACTCTGACACTGACTGGGAACTGGGGCCCATCCATGGGAATTCTGGAGAGAAGTAGAAAGGATGTGAGAGAGAGTAAGCTGGAGGGTAAAAATGATGGAATCCTAAATCTTAGACCTGGAAATTGAGAGAAGACCGGAAAAGGAGTGGAGAAGAAGTGAATAGGAGAGAATACACAGCCAGCATGTAAAAGGAAATGGTTTTCCCTTTTTGAAGGGCGAATTCCGCCTCCTTTTAGGTTATTCGTTTTGAAACCTCCCCTTTTCTGAGCCCCACAATACTTTGTTTCATACACTTCTGTCCCACTGAAACCTGGCACCAAATAAACAGCAGGGAAGTAAAAAGCCTAGGGAGGGAGAAGGGGGAAAGGCAAGGAAGGTGGAGGGGCAGGCTGAACGGAGAGCCAGGGATCGAATTACCTCTAACCTAGTCCTCCGAAACCACCTCAAGGGAAGTTTAGGGAGTTGGGGGGTGGGAGGGAAAGATGTGCATCAAAGAGGAAAACCAGCTTCCATTTTTAAAAGGGGAAGGGGGCCCACACCTACATTCCACCAACAGTCTGTCAGGTACCCTTTATCTAAAGTTCTATAAGGTCTATTACACTTTCTGCCTCCCACTTAAGAGAGAGAGAGAGAGAGAGAGAGAGAGAGAGAGAGAGAGAGAGAGAGAGAAAGAGAGAGAGAGAGTGTGTGTGTGTGTGTGTGTGTGTGTGTGTGTGTAAGAGACAGAGACACAGAGAAGTCTTGCAACCTTAGTCTGAATTTTCTTTGTAGACCAGCCAGTCCACTCTGCAATTTTCAGCCAGACATACCCCAGGAAAGGGAAGTTTCCCGATTATGTTAATAGCCTAGCCCAAATAAACTGCAGAGTGTGGGTTATCTGTCTGTGTGCTGAGTCAAAAGGCCTTTAAAGCTAACTCCCTCATGCAAAAAATGAGGAGTGGGGTTATGTGTGCAGTGCGCTTCCTTCTCACCTGTTCCCTATTAAAGCAGGATTTTGGTAAAGAAGATTCTCTTCTCTAACCTCTCCCCACCCCCAGAAAAATTCCAAATTAAGCAAATGTGACTTGACTATCCCATACAGCCTTATACTCCTACTTTCCCCAGCGCTGCCCAAATGTGCTTCTCTGTGAAGCACTTTAGGACTAAAATCCCTTATTTGTATCAGCACTGACATTTCTCCCACAATTTACAACTTTAGGGAAATGCAATACAGATCCCATGTAGCCAATCCCCTGGCTAGAATGGCATTTCCCATAATTTGCTTGATTCTCAGTCATGCTTGATAGTTGAATTAACATAGGAACAGTCCTGAAAAGCAGGATCCTAGAAAAGGTATAAGTAAAATGCTTGGCACTATCTTCAGAGAGACCCAGTTCTCCTGTCCCCAAAATAAGGATTCATATGTAAGTCATGAGATGCACCCTGGGCATCTGATTAGGGGGCTTAATAACCCATCCCTAGAGAAGGCAACAGGTTGGTAACCTGGAATGCCAACCACTTCACCTCTATTCGCTAATCTACTTCATCACTCTTTTAGATACCTAGAGTAGGGCAAACTGATCAATTTGATTATTTCTTTCAACTCAGGCCTCTCCCTACCATAAAAGACGTGGTGGTGGTGGTGGTGGTGATGTTTTTTAAACTGTACTTGTTTGTTTTAAAACTAGGAAAGAAAAGCTGGGCTGTAAAAAAGCAATCAGATGCCTGCTAACAATTTTTCATTTTACTATGGTTTAGGGAATTTTTGGAACAACACCAGGAAAATGCTGAATCTGACTGAAATTCCTTTAAGGTGTTTTTCCTCTCCTCCTCCCTCCCCCTTAAAACATAAAATCTCCCTTTACAAGGAAAGGAAGAAGGGGGGGAAGGGGGAAGGCTATTTTACCTGTATTTGCACTAGCATTAGTAACAACCACTTAACAAGTAGCAAGTCGCTTGCTACCACTTACAAAGAGTTATTTAATTGCCCTGGTCATGAATGAACAGACCTTTATAGAAGACCAAAAGTTCATGAATGAATCTCACTTGGGGGCTGTTCAATGACATGGGGTGACCAGACCTCAAGGCCACATTTTAGGCAAGGGAGGAATTTTTCCTTTCTATTTGATGGTGTGAGGAGGGGAAGATGGGGAGGAGGGTGAGGCTAGCAAAGCAGCCCCTCCCACCACCACACTTCCAACTAGAGGGGCCAGTGAGAT